TGCCCCATACATGCAACAAACAACCCAGCACAACAAAAGACAAGATTATGTTCCTTTGCCAATGGAGCCTTTCTGATCTATAATACAGCTAAGGCTGCATTTAAATAGAGACTACTGAGATTTCATGATTTTCACACACTGATATCTCTATGACTTCATATTTTCAGATTTTTGCATGAGTGGAGGGATGTAGCCACAAGATGACGAGTAATTTTTATTGACAGTTTTGAGAGTGGCTGAATTTGCTTTGATGCGAGTGAATAAGAAAGAAAGGGTCAACAACAAATATTCTAAAGATAGTATCAAAATACTAAACATTTATAGACAAATCTTTTCCAGAACAGGCTAAATTCAAATTGTCAAGATATTTTATCCCAAGCAAATGGGGACAATGGGAATTAAGGCCTCTACACATTTAACAAAGACTCCTTCTTTTTTATGTTCATCTTGCTCATGTATTTGAAAAACAATTGCCAAAAAAAGAAGTGTGCAATTGTTTGATTGAAAACTCCCAACTTCAAACTGTTTAGCAAAAAAAACACAACCAAATTTCAAATACGCATTCAATCTATGTGTAATCGCACAGATTCAAATCAAATACAAAATCTAGAAAATCAGAATTTAGCCCCCCCTTTCTTTTTCCCATCAAAAATGCCTTCATTTTATGTTTCCTCTGGACAGCTATTACTTCAAAACAGATTGGTTCTTTTAAATCTTTTCCAAATTATGTTCTCAGAATCATTACCAGCTCTTACTTCAGATAAGCATCACCATTCTGGCAAGATTCAAAAGGGCCATTACATGGCTTACAGTGCTTATACCACACCTATCTTACCTACTTTTCTGTAGGCACACTCATCACCTCTAAAACCCCCTTATATTCCCAAAAGCAATAAAGGGACCAACTCCATCCTTATGGCTACAGTGGAACGATCCTTAATAAAAATATAAGCAACAAGCAGCCAGGTTTCTGGGACATTACTGACGCACGTACTGTGACAAGCAGTGACTGACTGCCTGCTTCACGGGTCTGCAAAGCCCTCCTGGCTGCGCTGGAGGAAGCTGTGGCCCTGCAGCTCTGCTCCGGGATGCTGGCCGGGAGGGAGGCCCCTGCTGCTCACGCTGAGGCCGGGGAAGCTGCACCCGTTCAGAGCAGCTCTGTGCCTAATCCACCCACGTGGAGCCTGAGCCAGTGATTTGCGTTTTCTGAAGCTCGAAGTGTTCATTCATGCACAGGCTCCTGTGTAATTTATACAAAAATTGCATTCATTTTAAGGCCTCTGTACTCTCAGAGAGGATTATCTGAAAGTAAAACCCTAATGACTCAGAGAAAGAAAACATCTCTCTCAAATCTGCAGTGGTTTCCTTAATATAGCCCATTCCTTTGACATTAGATATTGATGAGCATGCCGTCTTTCCAATACATGCAAGACCTGCAAAAAATACCTTGAATTCAGATGTACTTTTTATCTTCTCATTTAGAACAAGGGGATCCTCACTAACTGACCTACTGGGAGTTAAGACATATGATATCTGCCTCCACAGTTTTCTGACATGACATGAGAGTTATGGATAGTTGGCATGCAATGTATTTATATGAGATATAGTTTCATACTATGCTTTTATATGCTAACCAAGAAAGTGAAGCGATCTTTCTTCTGTGCGACTTCTACCTATCTTCATTTCCTTTAGCGCAAACAGTCATAGACAAGCTCCTCTTTGAACTGATAATTTTTTAGAGGTCATTCCACCCATAATTTCAGGTCCTAGTCACCATCCTGATGGTCCTTCTTAGGAAATTGGACCCAGTGGGAACGTTTTTTCCTTCTCTTAGTCTATGGGTCAGCATTTTCCTTCCCTTGTACTTCTTAATTCCCTTAAGTGGCAATTATTTAAGGCACAGTTAGAGAAGGTGCAATCTACATTCATCCAATAAAACCTAAATATTAAAAAGGACAGAAAAATCCAGCATGGTTACTAAGAATATATGGGAGAGCATTTAGCATTTGAAAGGTACCAAAGATCTGGTAAATGAAAAGATGGGGAAAATTATGAAGAACTATTGGAAGTAAAATAGAAATTAGGAGCAGCACGAAAGAACAAGTGCATCAGGCAGACAAGGCATCTTAGTCCCCAGAGGTTGAGGGACAAAGTTCCCCATCAAGCAGTTCATACGAATGTTGGGGTGGTGCACACTGCATCCAGGAAAGCAAACAGAAAGAAACCTCCAAAGATACAGTGGGCGTTAGTGCTCCACGAGCACTTTCAAAACCCACGAGAATCTCTGTGTTGGCCGGCGTGGCAAAGCCCACGGCTCCCTCCCAGGCCAGGTTCCCCTCTGCCACAGAAACCAGGATGCTGTAGCGGGGAGGGAGATGAGTGCTGGGACACAGGCAGAAGTGCAGGGTGCTCATTAAGAGTCCCATGGGTGCTGCACTGACTAGGAAAAGCTCATGCTCAAGGGCCCTGCAGCTTAGTGCCAATTTTCTGGTGGAAAAATGCTGCACAATGAAAGATGCTCCACTTGTATTGATCAGAGAGATTGTTAAGACCTGTCCCAGGCTTTTGTCTACGCAGTATGTTCTTTTTTCGTTAAAATTATAATCTGAACATCTTTTCTTTAGAGGAATTCATGGCCTACATTCTCACCTGAGGATACCACCCACTGATTAAAACAAACTTAACAGTGATTTTTCTTGAATATTATATGGTGTAGTATTTGCACCAAAATATTTCAGCTCCTCCTTTCATGACACATACTGACTGGTCAGGAAGAGCAGCTATGGAACTCTGGAAGGAGCACCGAGGCTCTTCAGCAGCGGCAGCACAGACCAGGTATTACAGGAGACGCAAAAATGCTTTCCTGACCTTACATTTCTGTTCACTGCATTTCTGTTTACCCAACAAAGTCCAGCTCTTCACTCATGACTACCAAGATAAAGACACTGGCAGCGGTAGCTTCACCAGGATACAAAGCCTACTCATAGCAGACAGCTACGAAATAATCAAATATGTTGGATTTTTTAACGTGGATTAATTTTTTTTTTTTTTTGTGAAACACAATACAAAGCAATCTACATAGGCTACAAGGAACCTAGCTTCCTCCTTTACAAACAGAAAATCATTTATACTAGGTTTTTATTTCAAGCACACACTAAAATTATTATTCTTCACAAAAGAGGAAAGGGAGTGCCTGCCAATCAACATGACACGCTATTGAAAGACTGGCACTAATAGCTATGACAAGAGCAAACCTGTTTGAAGCAGAGCTGGTGCTGCCTTTTTTCAAGGATACCAGCCATCAAAAATACTGTTTTATCTATCTGACTGGCAACCCAAGCAATGGACTACTAAAGTAAAAGCTTCTACCTTATTTGCCTATATCTAGCAATGGCAGATTTTTTATATTGTTTTAAATTACAGTATTTAAAGACTATTTTATTTTAATAAAGAGAAAGACCGTGAACAGAACTACACCTGAAAAGAAGTTAAACATGCCTGTAAACAAAACTGTACATCATTCATTAACAAGGAGAATTTATTCATTGTATATTTTCCTAATTTGCTAAATTTGGATGCATTAGAATAAACATATTTTTTATTATTTGATTTTTTGTAATTTGTTTCACCTTTTTATTTTCTATTAGAGAGTCAGAGAAGAGATGTAACAGAAAAAGGCCAAGAAAAATGAAAATTTTAAGAATAGAAGAGCTCTAGTATACGAGTATAATTGTCACATTATCAAGTTATCTGTGTTCAATTCACATTCTGAATAAGTCTACAGTTTCCACTTGGTAATACAGTTACACCTTGATAAAATCACATAATAGATCACACCATAACTTTTAGCAATCAATTTTTTTCTCTTAATAATTTGATAAATGTAGCTGTCAAGTGGGATAAGAATCACAATTTTATTTGGGCTTAACTATTTGAACTTTCCAAGTCCCGTTCATGAATATTGCAGCGGGCCCAGCTGATAGCATCGCGCTTCGTCCTGCGCCGATGGTGCCACGGCCGCGCGCTCCCCACCGCGACCTTCCTTCACAGAGGCCACGGAACGGCCAGAGGGCTGCGCGCAGAGCGCGGCCCTTTGGAAGGACACTCCGAAAAGTCCGCAGAAATACTTGGTATAAAAGAGACTTTGCTGTAAACCTCCCCTCTTTTCTGGAAAGGGCTGAAGTATCCCCCTAGCTCTGATTTCCTAAGCAGAATGCAGGACGTTGGCCTGACCTCCTGAGCGGCTGATTCACCCACTGGCCTTTCCATCCTCAGCAAGGAAACTGCCAACCTAGAGAGCAGCGTTTCAATAGGAATGGGATTCTTCTAACACTTTTCTTTTTTCTTTTTTGGTTAAATGAATGCTCTTATGTGTTTTATGGAGGATTTAACTACATAGTAGGAAGAAAATTATTTTAGGCTAGTATATCTCCAGTCAGGCACAGGTACTGCAGGCTCCGAGAGGATAAGAATTTAGCGCTGATGGTACTTTTAATGGCACTGTCATCTGTAAGAGAAAGAGCACTTTGGTGTCTCCTCAACTACCCTCTACTATCATCATAGTTCAGCTTCACAAACACAACCCTTGCACCAGGAGCCTTCAGATTGAGAGTATTTTAAAATTTAAGAGCAGAAATGAGCACTAGATACTAGTCTGACTCCCAGCGTATTGAACCCTTTAAATTTCACTTAATTAGTTTTGCAGGGAGGCCAGCAACCTTGAGTCCTCTTAAAACCCATCTTCCAGATAGACATTTCGTCTTCTGGAGACTCAAAGGAGTGAAGCGGGGACAGTTTCTTCTGGTCATTGATGCCAATGCTCAACTGACCTCGTATTTAAACGTCCACCCCTTATTTCTCATTGCAGTTTGTCTCGCTACTCTTTCAGCAGCTGATTTTTCCTGCGCTTCGCTCAGCGAGATTAAGAGTTGCTCACACGTGACATTTTCTCCCTCCGCAGCCGCTCACACGCTCTGATCGCGCGCCTCTCTCTCACGCGCTCATGACGTACGCAACGCCTCGCCTCGCGAGGACGACGCGCTCAGCCGCCACACGGGCTGAGCCCAAACGCGGCCGGCGCCACCTCTGTTGGGCGGGCGGGGCCGCTCCGTGCCCACAGCGCCGCGGGCAGCTCCCAAGGAGGCGGCCGTGCCTGGGGGAAGCGGCTCGCGCTCCTGCTGCTCCCAGCCCCACGGAGGTGAAGGAGCCACCACCGCTTCTCCTGGCAGGGCCCAGCAGGGCACGTGCTCTCCACAGCTCCCTATCGCTTCTAAAGGAAGAGGGGACATGCCCTTACCCAATAACGTGATCACTTTGCTCTGCCTCCCCTTGGTTTCTTTTTAATTCTTTTTCTTTTTTTAAAGGACACAGCTCCAAGTAAGAGTTCAGGACTGCTAACTCTAAGTTCATTCAATACCTCAGCATTTTCTGTTGAAAGTCTTGCACAGTTCCTTAATCAAATACCTGATCATTGTGAAACTGTAAGCAAATGATTTTTGCCTCAAACTGTAGAGACATTGTACTGCTTTTGCACACGGGGAAATTCACACACAGATCAAGCCCACCACAAATCATTGGCACAGCAAAAAATGAATTCTGCTGACTTCCTGCATTGACACTCAGGCTTGGAGATCCTCTTCACTTTGACCAGTGCACAGAAATAATGATACAGACTAAAACTTCGCTATTACCTTGCTTCCAAACACCCATCCTCTTTAAGAATCATGGAGGATCTACTGATAACCAAGTTCAAAAACACTGCAGCATCTGTCAGCATGCGAGACACGGCAGTCAGGAGTGCCAGGTCCAGCACCAGGACAGACAGGGTAACGGTAGCAGAAGACGACAACTCCCTTAGGACCAAAGCAGCGTGGGTATCTCAGCGCTGCAGCTTCAAAAACAGCCACTCACAGTGTGACTCCCAGTTTTTGTATCAGAACCAAATAGCGCTCCAGGACTACAGTATCATCACGTAACTTTCAACATGATCAAGAAAATAGTGATGAGCAAACTGTTCCTTTTCCCTCTGAGGAGCTTTTTGCCTCACTGCCACTCCAGTATCCACACGAGAGTGCTACCCACACAGTGAGATGCCATGGGCTCTGCAGCCATAATGGGGTTGTCAAGTCACAGATATTATTCTCTTTGGACATAAATAATGCATCATAATATCATAATGTCCATAAGACAACAACTCTTAAATGAAGAACATTTAGTGCAAATTGGAATTATCACTACCAACTGAGGCTGCTCCAAAGCAGAGAAAAGAGAGAGCAGAGAAAAGAGAGAGCAGAGAGAGTCTGAGAAAAAAAAAGCAGGAGCACGGAAACCTCTGAGGTTATATCACAGAAATGGAGGGGCCTTTTGCCTATCCTGCTTGCCAACGCTTTCAGGGTCAGCTCCACTCATTACTAAGCTACAGAACTGTGCATCAGCAGCAGGGGAAAAAAAAACAAAAACAAAACCACATATAGGAAATCTGGAATCAATCCAAAAATATCTTTGGCTTACTATGGATGAATCTTGCCACATAGACAAGCTCACAGTGATCACTCAGAAGAATTTTCTTTATCAAATAAACTCAAAAACCCACCAAAATGATGGCTATCATCATGATCTAACAATGAATTCCCTTGGTATATACATTTTTAAAATAAAGCGACAAATTTTCAGCTTGCATATTTATACCAAGATGAATTCAAATAGTTTCCATTAGAATCAATTTTTTATTACTGAAATCTTGATCGCAGGCTCCTCTAACTATCTAATAAGCTCACTTCTGTTTTAGAAATGCTAAAAACCTATATCTCTTTGATTCCATCTATGATTTTAAGGAAAATACATTAATACTGTGGATAATGAACAATAACTACATCTCACAGAATCACAGAATGGTTGAGGTTGGAAGGGACCTCTAGAGATCATCTAGTCCAACCCTCCTGCTCCAGCAGGGACACCCAGAGCACGTGGCACAGGGTGGCATCCAGGTGGGTTTGGAAGATCTCCAGAGAAGGAGACTCCACAACCTCTCTGGGCAGCCTGTTCCAGGGCTTTGTCACTCTCACAGGAAACAAGTTCTTTCTCACATGGAGATGGAACTTCCTGTGTTTCAACTTGTACTCATTACCCCTGTCCTGCCACCAGCCACCACTGAGTTTGACCCCATTCTCTTCACATTCTCCCCTCAGGCATTTCTACATGTTGATCAGATCCCCTCTCAGTCTTCTCCAGACTAAACAGGCCCAGCTCAGTTAGTCTTTCCTCATAAGATAGATGCTCCAGTCCCTTAATCATCTTTGTCGCTATATGCTGGACCCTCTCTAGAAGCTCCACATCCCTCTGGTACTGGGGAGCCCAGAAATTTCTCCTAACAGGATTTCAAATTCAGCATAGATATCGAAAAACATGAGTCCAAGAAAACCAAAACAACAGGTATAAAGCTCTTAGAGGCTCATAGAGGACAGCAGAGACATTTCAAAAACTGATCAAGTGATTGGTATAAAATTACAGGTAAATTGCAGAAGTATTTGATCTGGAATCTAGCAAATACAATCCATAATTTTATTACTATTAGTTTTGAATATGCATATATCACTTTGTAGGCTTGTTTGTAATTAAAGGCTGTTTCTCAGGTGCAGGGCACATTAAATACATACATAAATATATAAGTAAATATAAATATAAATAAAGACAGAAATATTCTCTGAATTGCAATTGTTTTAAAACATATAATGATACTTCTTGACATGTATAAAGAATGGAGCTGCATAAAAACACATCTCCTTCTGGGATAGATTCTATAGAAAATGGGGTAAGAAAATCTGCAGAGATGTGCTCTAGGTGTCCCTGCTGGAGCAGGGTCTGGGACTAGATGATCTCTAGAGGTCCCTTCCAACCTCAACCATTCTGTGATTCTGTGACTTTGCAGCACTCCCATACATTAATTCCTCACGTCATAAAGGATTTCAAAGATGCAAAATACAAAGAGCTATCACCTACCAATTGCAGTATCATTCTCATTCATGCAGGAGCTAACCTGTTCTCTCACCCACCTTCCAGGTCATCTCCCCTAAAAACCCAGCTTCCTCAAGCTCTTTGCTGACATTCAGCTCATAAAGTAATATTTAAATAGTCAAAGAAAGCTACTTCAAAGAGCATTAATTTGCATAGGACAACTGATAATCTCCATTTCACAGATGAGAAAGAGGCTTGAATTTTACTCCCAGCCACACCTTAAAGGTAACTTACAAGTCTGATCTTACTTTAGGCAAAAAAAGGAGTTTCTGACTAGTCTTCTATTTCTATTCTGCTCAAAGAAGCAAAGGGGATGGCTTCTCTGCTACAAAGCAATATTAGGACACAAAAGGAAAAGAAATAAGTTTTAGTTAAAAAATTGATTTTTATGACACTTTCATACTCCCATCATCCTTAAAAGTTCTATATCATATTGTGGATTCTCTGTGGGTATAGGCAATGACCAAGACGCAATCAGTAACCATGAACTAGACATAGAACAAATCTTAGTTTGATAAGAAATGTTAGCCAGGGCTCTGGAGTTATTCCCTCATTCCTCTAAAAATCTTCTGTAAAATCTTTAACTCTCAGGTGTCCAGCAGGTGGAAACAGATTGAAAAGATGAAAAAGCCTTCACTCTAATGTCTGAGGTGAATGCGTAATTACCACCTAGGTCCTGCTTTGACAGTGTTTATTTCTGAAAGGAAAATATAGCAGTGCCCTTTTAGAGAGGGATTATGCAAACAATATTTCAACAAACCTTTGTGGCATCCCAGTTCTAGGCTAGCAATAGCTTGGCAATAATTAGGTGGCAGCCAGATCTCCCTAGTTCTAATATGTTTGTATAGCACCCTCTTAAGCAAAAGGGAATTTCTCCAGTATAAGGATATATATATATATTTATAAAAAGATAATCTTTAGTATAAAACACAATTATAAGAATTTTTCCTGCACTGCCAAGACAAGTGAGTTGACTATCTTTACCACAATATGCTACAATGAGCAATTCATTTGCCTATATATATATATATATAAAATATATATATATATCTTGAACGAACAACATAGAACCTTAAAAGATTTTGTAGTTTTGGAAAAATGCTAGTTGTTCTACCAGGGTTTCCTCTTTTACACATAAATACTGTACCTCTAGCTACTTAGAATATTTAAATCTTTAAATTATTAAATTTATTTAATAATTTTATATTATTTAATAAATTATTTAAATTGTTTTCAGTGGGATTATTTTAGTAAATAACCAATAGTGTCTGGATATGAATTCTGAGTTGAATATTCATTTACTTTAGTTAGAAATATGGTGCAATGTGATCAGTTTTCTGACCTATTTTGAATTGGTATTCTGCCAACTGGCATTTTGTTTGCACATCCAGATATTATCCACCATATGCTGACATGACATGATGATTGGTTCCAAAATGAAGCAGAATACTTGGCAAATAGAAATATATGGTACAAATAATACACTGCCTGTAGCCAGCAAAGGGTTTTGAGGAGACTAAGAGATTTTAAAATAACTTCAGTATAACACTGCACATTGCTAAATAAAAGCTCTCTAAGACAGGTATTTTGGAGGAATGTGATTCTCAAATTTATAAGATCAAGTCCTTACAGAAAAAGATTCAAATCTGACAAGACAGTACTAACGGTGGTAGAACTAACTTTAAGGAAAGAGCAGTTTGCATCTTGGGCAGGATTTGGCCCACATAGCTTCCTTCTCTGGATTCACTAGCTCTTCTTTCTTGCCATCTGCTTTTCTTTTCCCACTGCACTGACTTGTCTGCTCTGCCTGTGATGTCTAAGTTATCTCTCTCTCCCGAATTAAGATCATGTTTCATTAAGCTCCCGTCTAATTCTGTTTTTTTTTTTTTTTTCCTGCTAAAACCTATCCACTGAAATCATCTTATTTTACTATCTTGATGTTCCTGTTACACTTTGGCCTTCTATTCTGAACCTTACAATCTCTGGAAGAAATCTTTTTTTTCTAAGCAGAAAACATCCCAACTTTGTTCTTTCAATTCCTGTTTCTAAAGCATTATTTATGGTTTGCTTTCTGGAAGCGACTTCCGTATGTGTGCTATCCAATATAAAGCCCCCAAACCATACATACCTTGTTGATGAACCTTGTATTTTGTTGTAGCCCTCTTTTGCCATGTTCTTAGTTCAACTTAAAAAGTAAACTATTGCCTATTCTCAATCTCTGTAAAGCACTGTGTAAAATGTTGCTGTGAAATTAGCAAAAAATAATAAAATATGGGGACATGGCACAAATATAGCACAAAAATCTAGGAACAAAATATTAATTCAGATTTACAAGTGAGTCCCTGAAGGTTCTCCAGATAGATAGGTCATGTGGTAGCAAAATTCATATTTCTTTCTTAATTATTTGACTCGTATTGTGAACATCAGCAGAATTAATCACATTAGAAAACAAGCAAACACTTAACTTGGCTGTCTTAGCGTTGCAAAGCACTATCATCTCCTATGTTATTGTATGAGGTTGGGTACCTTTTTCATGTTATTTTAATTTTCCTTTCTTCTAACAGTAAAAATTCTACTCGGCTGCTATTATATCTTTTAATGTTGATTTCTGATGCTTTGTTTGGTTTGTGAAACAGAAGTGGATTTAAGCACTTAATGCATTACCTTTATCCCCTTGTGGAAACTCGATGAGTCCATTTTAAAATCATTTTCCTCTTCAGATGAAATAATAGTAACATGCATGAGCCATCTTGCTTATTGCAGCCAATTTTAAGCAGGAGCATTTAGAAAAGGGGAGATTTTGTGAGCAGGGAGGAAGAGGAGGTGCTTACCAGCGTGCAGGTATGCCAGGTCGGGGTTTTCGATGTCGGGGTGCAGCTCTTTCAAGTGATTACGAAACTCCACTGGGATGTTGGTTCCATACTCACACTTAGGACAGTTATACATTTTCACTCCCTCATGCTTTCCTGTGTGTAAGATGTGTTTACGGATATTTTCAGCGCAGTTGGATCTAAAAAGTGAGAAAAAAAGAGCCAAGTTTTATAATGATCTACTCACCATAAGACAGTGAAGCAGTGTGGGGTTATGGCCAAAAAGGAGCAGAGTCACGGCTAAAGCTCATTTTCCATAATCTGCTCAACCTTGTGCCCCTTGAATTTTGTATAAAAGTTGTCCTTGGCATGAAAGCTCCCGAAACTGTTTCAGATTAGCTGAGCAAAACATCTAAACAGAGGTATTTTAAAATGAAAAATTTCACATTTGCAAATTCAAAGCATTTTAATTTTTCCTTTAAAACATTTAACATTTAAAGCATTTTAATCAGTTGCTGCTGATGAACAGAATGTAAGGAGCAAACTCCTTAACGCAGCAAAACTGATTCTTGCTCAGGCTTTCTCAGCTCTAGGCCCTGAATGCAGCCCGGCCACACAGCAGCAGAGATGCCCGAGGCATCCATGGCGGAGTTCATCTGGACCTTTCCCACACATTCCAAGGCTCCAAAGGAGATTTTGTGACTGAATTTTATAAGAATATTCCACCAATTCTTATCTCAATGTCCTAGTGTTTGCATAAGAAAATAAAAAGGATCTTCTCAAGTTCATGACTCTTTTTTTTCCAAATATACATATATTCTGATTTATTTCTGAAACATGGGTTCTGTGTAGGGAGTTAAGTTTTCATGTACAAATTCAGGATACATACACAAGAGTTACAAAGTTTTATACAAAACATATGATTTTATGGACTTGAAGGATATGCTATTTCTCAGAGAAATACTAAATACATAATATTATTTCTGAAAGAAGTGAAAAGAAACGCTACATTTTATCTGCAAGGAGCAATGAAATGACAATAGTTTTTAATTTCTAGATTTTAAAATTTTGCATTCTCCCTCCAAATTTATTTTACATTAGAATTTCCTAAGTATATAAAGTTTCTGATGAAGCTCACACACTCTCCACTTCTTTTTCATTTATTTCTAAGCAGAAACAACCCAAATATTTCTTCCTAAAACAAAATAACAGCCTGTGAACAATAATTTATTTCTCTAGACTTTCTTAGTATTATACCTCATTAATGTTGGTGAACTAAGAACATCAATCCAGTTTAACTAAAAAAAGAAAACCCCCCAAGTAAAATACATAAATATCTAATATTTGACATATATTTAAATAAGACAACAGTACTATCTTGAGCAACTGGTTATCTATGTGTCACATTTACAGATACCACCGTAACAGCCACCTAAAAAAAGACCCCCCAAATAAACTGGAAGTAGCAGCTTGAAATTCTGCTGGAGAGCTTGTCTCTCCCTTGGAGATGGTCATAGTAAAGCTGATATCTGCCTCACGGTGCTGCCAAAGCTCACCCTCTGTCATGTCCATCTGCTATACAACACTGCAACGATCGGGCTCTTGAGAAAGTCAGAGAAGAGACTTATGTTCACTAAAAAACCCGAGCGAGTTTGGTCCTCAGCATCTTGCAGGGTTTCGCTCTCTCTCCATCCCCTTCCCTCCAAATTATTAGGCTTAAAAATGTTAAAGTGAAATAGATGTTTTATAAAAATAATAGTTAGGGTATACTGCAATGAAAGCAGGAGACAACCTTCTATTATGGGTTAAACTTTAAAGTGCAGTAGATTAAGAGCATGCAAATCTGAAATAAAATATCTGTGTCCTTTTAGCTCAGCTATCAGACTAGGAAAGATATACACCTTGTTTTTACCTTGAAATAGTTCTGTGAAATGTATAAAGGCTCTGTGGAAGCCCATGGTGGAGCCCGTGAGGAGAAACTAGTTGGCTCATGTTCTAGAAGGCCAGTCCTATCCCTGATGTGCATGCACAGCATTCCTTGTGCACACCCCAAAGCAGCTCACACCATCGGCCACACAGCGCGTTGCGTGTGGCCGTTAGAAGTCAGTTTCGACCAGTCACTTACTTGTCTTTTTTTTTGCTCTAATTTCAAGGTTGATGTGTCTTCAAGTGTCACAATGGTAAAACTGTATTTTCCTCAACATGAACAACACATGCAAGGCTGAATTAAGTTAATTTTGATGCTTTGTCACTTTTTAACCAAACCTCAAGAGTACTAAGCGCGTGCAGAGGAACTGCATATCACTGCAGAGAGAGCTGCGTGGTACCGTAATCCACAAAGCCACTCAGCTTCAGTGGACACTCTGCAGGCACCCTACTACACCAGGCTCAAAGCCTCCCCACGGCTGGGCTAAAACCAACCTTTGCTCTTCCAAGGACGGGAATTTCATGGATGCGCAAGGAAGAGTTTGAAGAGCCGTATGAGCAGCATGGAAACACGGGAGGCTCCATGAGCCCTGAAGGAAGGTGGTGCCGAGGACGCATGGTTGGTGCCGGGTCCCCACAGCTACCCCCAGCCGTGGTGGTAGCCCTCCCGCAGCCTCCTCCTCCTGCCAGGGAGCAGCGGGTCCCTGGAAGGAGAGGGTCCTGCTCTGCTCTCCTCCCGGCCCCCTGCCAGGCCGAGCAAACAGAGTAATCCAGGAAATAAGGGCAGGGCTGCCCAATCCTGCAGTGCTACCCAGTACTGCCCTCATCACTTTAAGGGCCATCATGAAATAAGGAAAAATCATAAAATACCTATTAATTCTAAACTAACGCAGGCAGAATGAAAATGCTTCTACATTTTAAAGGTTTTCTACATGATAATATTATCAGCTCTGTATTCAAGAGTTAGATGAAATACAGTAGGAAGCAACTTATTTCATCATGACGTTTAACTAATAGAAAACCACAATGGGAACTCTCTTCCTTTTTACAGTGTCTGACATTTTCAAAAAGATGCTTACTACAAGACATGAAAACAGAAGGTTTCAGAGGGGCAAATAAGGCAAAATGTTAATTATCTAGCTCACTAAGTTTTAAATATTTTAGCATCTTGCAAGGCTCATATTTGCACAAATATGATGTGTTTTCAAAAAAATTTATCCAAGGCATTAGGTACAAACAGCTTCTTTCTGGAGAGGAATGCGTACAACCTAGAGGACTTTCAGTAACTCCACGGATGTTGCTATTTACAACATGAAAACAAACACGGCGATACAGCCAACTGAGTGGAGAGATTTCTTTCTACTTCTCCTGTTTGTCGTTATAAATAAAATTCACTCTAGCAGAGACAGCAGTCTAAAAGTCTTCAGCACTGTTTATAATGTGCTACAAAACCTGCAAGAAATACACAGAAATTGCAAACAATATTCAGTAATCTAATTTAAAAACATCAAAGTCTCCAGATACTTTCTTCCAGAAATTTAAGCTGTCCGAACGTAAGGAAACTTCCAATTAAATTCCTGCGTATCATAATATATTTTTAACCTCAATTATTAACTAAAATTTGCAAGTGTCTTACTCTCAGAAAATGTTAGCTAATCTGGAAGCCTAGATGTCTTTAATTATGTTATTGCAGTTTTGATTTAAACTTAAAAAGGACAGCCACAGATTTTTTGAGAGATGAGGTATCATACGGCCGTAAGGAACATTTATTTACTTATTTATTTCACCAGACCTATGGACAGCGAGGTTCATAAAGGCTTGCCTGGCGATTCTTCCTTTCTGGAACTCTCACTGGAACTAAAACAGCATTTGGGGAGATGGGGGGAATCCACTGCGCTTGTAGGCAAATGGCTCCAGAGCTGATGATCCTCGCTTTCACCAAGCGCATCATATTTCCAATGATTTTGTTTCCAGCTAAGAGATACTGTTCTGCTACCTTGAACTGTCAAACCTTCTGCTGCATAAACTATAGAGATTGAGTTTACTTTAACTAATTTTGACAAATCTTAGAATTCTTCCACAGTTCCTCTCGATTGTAGATGCTGTTTTAAACCCTGAATACAAGAACTGAACATGCATTTCACAGCAGTGCTGCACATACGGACAACACAACTCCCCCATTCCCAGTGCTCTCCAGCCAAGCCTGGAATTTTGGGAGCTCCTGGGTACTCCTCTATGCACTAAGAGCTCCTGTTCACTTCTTTATGTGCCTGCACCTTTCAGTTTCTTTCAGTGTCATTGCTTCTCAAAATAAGTATTTTTATGTCAGGAAAGAAACAAATGCCTCAATCTGAGCTAATTACATAACAGTCACAGGCTTTTTCAATCCAAACCTTCCAAGCCACAGAGACTGCTACCCTGACCAACTTACACTGAGAAAAGAAAATAAATAAAACCAAACTCCTCCCTAGCATACTCAAGATTTGTCTCCACTTCTGATCTTTTTTTTTTAAATAAACTGAGTGCCAGTTAACTCAGGCTAGCTACAATGTCCTGTACAAGCTGCACACACCGCAAACACTGGTTCAGAAGACAAGTTTAAAAGGTATAGTGTCAGCTTACCTCCTCAGTGCTAGAGGCCAGCACAGTACTGCTGAAGAAAGAGAGGAAAAAAAAAAAAAAAGAAAGCATGGCCCAAAAAACTGTGAAATGTCTTGTAACTCATATTTTTACCATTTTACCAATATGTAATTATTATGCTTTAACATATGTATTTGTATACGGTATGTGCATATAATACTCTACATTCTCTTTGTATTCTTGTTTCCAGCACCTCGCTTACCTGTTCCTTGCAGCTTTCCTTTGCAGAAAGCCAAATTCCTGCCTTTCATTTAGGTTTTAAATGACTGGGGGGGAACGACCGCACAGCTGCTGGCGCTGGGGCTGTGCAGCAGGCCTCAGTTATCAGGTGGGTGAGGATATTATTGCCAGGATTAGCAGCGCACATTGGCAGCGAGCATGGGAGGTCGGCGACAACGTGCCCGCTGCAAGATCTGCTCCGCCAGTGTCAGCTCTGACAGACACCTCTTTATCCTCTTCCTGGAGAGCTCTGGTAACGAGCAGCTAGGGGACAGCAGCGTCTTCGACCACAACTGCTGTTTCTACAGCAAACAGTCGCCCACAGCCGACGCTTTCTAGCCCAAGGTTTCATAAAAAGGTGCATCCTGCAATGCGATGGCCACGCACATGGCCAGGTTTTACATGTGTTGCCATG